AGCACAACACAAATACCATAAAATTGGAGAGAGAAAAAAGAAGAAAAAAAGAAAGAAAAAAAGAAGAAAAAAGGAAAAAAGAAAAAAGGAAAAGTCATCATAGCTGATGGTAAAAACGAAGGGGGGGAAAAGAAAAGGGTAAAAAAAGAAAGAAAAAAATTAAAGAAAGAAATTTGACCTCCTGGTATCTTCTGGAAGTCTTCTCTATAGATTCATTTCACATTTAATTCTTTGTCTCTCTTCTTTCTCACTTTTTATCTCATTTCCGTCTATAATAGTCTTTCTAAGATTACTATTTCTTTTTTCTTCTTTTTTAAGTATTCAGTAACTTCGCTCCAGTCCGTTTCTTTTCTTCTGATTTCTCTATTTTTCAGTAGCAAGAAGGTAAGTTTATCTAAATTCCTAATATCTATCATTTTTATTGTCCAATTGTCCACATTTGGAATCTCCTCTTGTCTCCATACTTTGGCATAGCACATTCTCGCAGCCGTTAGTGCCAAAAATAGTATTTTGTCTTTATCCTTATCTAGATTTCTGGCATACATCCCTAGCAGAAATAGCTCCGGTTTTCTCTCTTTCCTTCCTTCTCTATTTCTTTCTTTCCTTCCCCCCTTTTTTTTCCTTCCACTTTCCCTCCTTTCTTCCTTCTCTACCGCTTTCTTTCCTTCTCCCTTTTCTTTTCCTTCCACTTTCTCTCCTTCCTTCCTTCCTTCCTTCTTTCCTTCCTTCCTTCCTTCCTTCCTTCCTTCCTTCCTTCCTTCCTTCTCTACCTCTTCCTTCCCCCTTCTTTTCCTTCCTTTCTCTCCTCCTTCCTTCCTTCCTTCTTCTCCTTCCTTCCTTCCTTCCTTCCTTCCTCTTTCCTTCCTTCTTCCTCTCTTCTTCCTTCCCCTTTCTTTCCTTCCCTTTTCCTCCTTTCTTCCTTCTCTCCTCTTCCTTCCTTCCTTCGCTCTTTGCTTCCTTCTCTCTTTCTTTCTTTTTTCTTTCTTTCTTCTTTCTTTCTTTCTTTCTTTCTTTCTCTCCTTCCTTCCCTCCCTCTTCCTTCTCTTTTTTCCTGTATCAACATTTTCAAATGTTTTCAACATTTAGCTTTTTGGGGTTTTAAGTCTTTTTCCTTTGCTGGGGGAGTCGTTTTTGCACCTGCGCTGTAGCGCCTTTTTGCTTTTTTGGCTTTTTAAGTCCCTTCCACTGTGTTTTTCAGTGTTTTTATGAGTGATGGTCACTCATTAGGGGTATTGTGTCCAAATTTGGTGTCAATTTGTCCAGCGGTTCTTGAGTTACGTTAATCCCACAAACTAACATTACATTTTTATTTATATAGATAAGTAAAAAGCAGCAAAGTAAAAAAAAAACACTTTAAGGAAATAGGTAAATCCAATTAGGTAAGAAGATAAGCAGGAACAAATTAGTCCAAGGTAGAGTTCAGCAATGTCCATAAAAGCAAAGTCTACACATCTCTGATATAATCCAAAAAATCAGGAATACATTGCTCTAAGGCTTGGGTAAGCAATCATGAAATATAGAAATCCAAAACCATAAACAAGAAATATCTCAGCATGAAATTTCAAAGCAAGGTTTCCATAAAACAAGGATGAGAACTTGGTGTGATTCTAAATGATGCTTCATCTGACTACACATCCCAAACTTGAGATTTTTATCCCCTTGTTACCCAGGTCACTAGCGGTCAGAAATTAGTTTCTCTTTAGTTGAAGCTTTGTTATTGTTTTCTGCTGAAGCCCGGCAGATCACCTAAGTCTTTGCACAGCCCTCCTATAGAATCATAGAATCAAAGAGTTGGAAGAGACCTCATGGGCCATCCAGTCCAACCCCCTGCCAAGAAGCAGGAATATTGCATACAAATCACCCCTGACAGATGGCCATCCAGCCTCTGTTTAAAAACTTCCAAAGAAGAAGCCTCCACCAAGACTAGGATTGGCTAGAAAAATGGGGCAGAGCCTAAGTGGTCTAGAGGAAAAAGGTGTCTTTTAAACTGAGGCTTGAAGTCCCAGTTTAGTCAGTTGGAGTTTGGGTGTAAAAGAGAGAGGAAGAGTTGGTGTTAGTCAGAGCGGGTTTGGGTTTAGTGAAGAAGATTGGGTCAGTCTTTTGTGAAGTATTCAGAGTAGCTATTGAGTAGATAGCTAGAATACTGTTTTGTGGAGCAGTACCCCGTTAGTGGTCCATTCAATTCCTAGGGAAGTCTAGTTCGGGGTTTTTGGCTAGATTCCTGAGGGGTATTTTGGGCCGATACATCATTTCCTGAAGTAATTTTCTGTGGTGGAACTTTGAAGACTTGTAACCCAGAAGATTTTAAGATTTTGACTCTAACGCAACCACAAGCTTTTTATGCCAGTATTTTACTGAAACCGTTAAGCATTTGTACCTGAATATTTCAAGCTTGTTTAATAAACGTTCTTGTCATTTTGTCAACTTATACAAGTCTCAGTGTGAATACCTCTGTGGTCAAAGTAATACTAAAGTCAGCTTCTCAGCAGCTCTAAGAAACTATAGTGGCACAGTGTGTGTTACAGAACAAACTTTCAATATTACCTCAGCCTGAATAATAGTGCAATGATGGCAGCGGAATTTGTTTGAAGAATCAATTTAAGTCTCTCAGTTCCAGTGGTTCCCAGTTCCTAACTTTTAAATATACAGTTGGATCAGCAACCATACTCCCTCTACCTTTTGTGAGTGTATATAAATTTGGCAGAGCAGCATTGGGATTATTCTATATATTTCCCCGTCTATAAACAAATTAAATTTAAATCTCTCTTACTCGCTGCGTTATTATACCATATAACCCAGAATATCAAGGCAGATAATCCACAATTCTGCTTTGAACTGGATTATCTGAGTCCACACTGCCATAAAATCTAGTTCAATGTGGATTTTATACATCTGTGTGGAAGGGGCCTTACTCTACTTGCTTTGCCTTGTAGGTCTATCAACACCTAGAGGAACAAAGGTATAGAAGCAAACACACTACCAAAAGAGCTCTGGATCTAGGTGGCTTCTGCAACTTGGTCGGTCCTCAGCATCAAGGGACAACAAAGTTCCTATGCAAACAAAACACAACACCTCAGTCTCAGGACACATCTCCAGACTTTTCCAGAGCTAGCATTCTAGGCCATGCTTAGCACAGCGAGTTAAACCGCCGGCTGTAAAAAATGTTGCCAACCAGAAGGGTGGCAGTTCAAGCCACAGGTTGGAGTGAGCTCCCACCATCAGTCTAGCTCCTGCTTACCTAGCAGTTCAAAAACAATACAGTCAGTAGATCAATAGGTACTTTGGTGGGGAGGTAAAAAGGTGCCCATGAAAACATGCTGGCAATTTGATCAGGAAGGCGTCCACGGACAGCAAAGCTCCTCGGCATGGAAAATTAAACAACAGCACCTCCTCATGGCTAGAGTCGAGCACAGCCTCCAAATGCCAGAGATGGAAAAATATGGGAAGCCTTTACCTCTGTTTATGTACTGTCGGTCTTTGTTAATTGTATCATGGCATTGAATGTTTGCTGTATATGTGTTCTGTAATCTGCTCTGACTCCCCTCAGGGAGATAGGGCAGAATATAAATAATGTTATTGTTGTTATTGTTAGATACACAACAAAATTAGTACACAGCAAACAAGATGAGTATGCTGACTGTTGTATTGGATCACACATCAGACACTTCCCAAGATACAGAATGGGGGATGCCTGGCTTGAGAGCAGTACGTGTGAAAAAGATCTTGGAGTCCTCGTGGACAACAAGTTAAACATGAGCCAGGAATGTGATGTGGCGGCAAAAAAAGCCAATGGGATTTTGGCCTGCATCAGTAGGAGCATAGTGTCTAGATCTAGGGAAGTCATGCTACCCATGCTCTATTCTGTCTTGGTTAGACCACACCTGGAATATTGTGTCCAGTTCTGGGCACCACAATTCAAGAGAGATATTGACAAGCTGGAATGTGTCCAGAGGAGGGCGACTAAAATGATCCAGGGCCTGGAGAACAAGACCTATGAGGAGCGGCTTAAGGAGCTGGGCATGTTTAGCCTGAAGAAGAGAAGGCTGAGAGGAGGTATGATAGCCATGGACAAATATGTGAGAGGAAGCCACAGGGAGGAGGGAGCAAGCTTGTTTTCTGCTTCCCTGCAGACTAGGACACATTGGAACAATGGCTTCAAACTACAAGAGAGGAGATTCCATCTGAACATTAGGAAGAACTTCCTGACTGTGAGAGCCGTTCAGCAGTGGAACTCTCTGTCCCAGAGTGTGGTGGAGGCTCCTTCTTTGGAAGCTTTTAAACAGAGGCTGGATGGCCATCTGTCAGGGGTGATTTGAATGCAATATTCCTGCTTCTTGGCAGGGGGTTGGACTGGATGGCCCATGAGGTCTCTGCCAAATCTTTGATTCTATGATTCTATCGAGGACTGTGTGGTGTATCAGCGAATAATGCATTTTGTCAGCACTGATTGTCTTTAAGTGCAGGCCAAGGTCTTTAGGCACTGCACCCAGTGTGCCCATCACTACTGGGACGACCTTTACTGGCTTGTGCCAGAGTCTTTGCAGTATATGTGTTCTGTAATCCACTCTTAGTCCCCTTAGAGTGGAATATAAATAAAGATGATGGTGATGGTGATGATGATTATTATTATGACAGATCTGAAGATGTGGAGAATGTTCCCATTTCTTAGAATCCCTGGGATTCTGGGAAGTGAAGTCCAAAAATAGCATTCTTAACCCCTGCATTTAAACACCCTCCCCACCACTCCTTGGTATTTATTACTATCTCCTTGTTGGAGTAATAGTCATAGAATGCTTGAACAGCCCTTGTATGCCTGTATATGAACATCCTTGGGACTCATTTCTTCAACATCTATTATAGTTTGAAGCCTCTTCTAGTTGATTGCATCCTTGACCATCTACAAAGATGATACTTTGAGTATTATCAAGGATAGCCTTGAATGTCGAGCACAGCTTAGACTGTCATTCTCGTATGGAAGCAAAGAAATCTCCAGTGCTTACCTAACACAACCAGTTGGATGGTGTGGTTTTTAGAGAGGCCATGCTTCACATTGTTGAGGAGTATGGTGTAGTTCCCTGCATGCTTTGCACTCACGTCCCTGATGATGAGTCTGTACTTTGCAGGATCAGGTTCATAGCAGTTGTTTGTGGGCAGTGGCTTGCCGTCCTTGTACCTGTGTTGACCCACAAGAATGAAGGAAAGTTAAGATGGGAAAGAGAGGAGAAACCTTGGATCGATTGAGTTGGTGTCATGAAGCTGGTCTAGATCAGTGGTTTCCAACCTTTTTTTTGACCACTTGACGAGGGACCACTCTCCAACGTTAGTAGCAAAACGGTTACAAATCAGTTTTTGGTCAACTTTAGGTTTGGTTTGGTTATTTGGGGTGCTGATTCAGAAAATTGTATTGGATAGACCACATCAGCTCTAATTCCTGATACAGAACATATACAACAGTAGTTCCCAACCTTTTTTGTCCAGGGGCCACTTTGACCAGGGACCCCTCTCCAACATTAGCACCAAAAGGGTTACGAATTAGTTCTTGGTCATCTTTAGATCTGGTTTGGTTATTTGGGGTGCTGATTCAGAAAATTGCATTGGATAGACCACATCAGCTCTAGTTTCTGATTCAGAACATATACAACAGTAGTTCCCAACCTTTTTTTGACCAGGGACCACTCTCCAACATCAGTACCAAAAGGGTTATGAATTAGTTCTTGGTCAACTTTAGATTCGGTTTGGTTATTTGGGGTGCCAATTCAGAGAATTGCATTGGGTAGACCACATCAGCTCTAGTTTCTGATTCAGAACATATACAACAGTAGTTCCCAACCTTTTTTGAATAGGGACCACTCTCCAACATTAGTACCAAAAGGGTTATGAATCAGTTTTTGGAAAACTTTAGATTTGGGTTGGTTATTTGGGACGCTGATTCAGAACATTGCATTGGATAGACCACATCAGCTCTAGTTTCTGATACAGAACATATACAACAGTAGTTCCCAACCTTTTTTTGATCAGGGACCACTTGACCAGGAGCCACTTTGACTAGGGACTCCTCACCAACATTAGCACCTAAAGTATTACGAATTAGTTCTTGGTCAACTTTAGATTCGGTTTGGTTATTTGGGGTGCTGATTCAGAAAACTGCATTGGATAGACCACATCAGCTCTATTTCTGATACAGAACATATACAACAGTAGTTCCCAACTTTTTTTGATCAGGGACCACTTGACCAGGGACCATTTTGACCAGGCACCCCTCTCTAACATTAGTACCAAAAAGGTTACGAATCGGTTTTTGGTCAGCTTTAGATTCAGCTTTTTTTTTTTGCCATAGATGCAGGTGAAACATCAGGAGAGAATGCTTCCAGAACATAGAACAGCCCAAAAAACCTACAACAACCTCGGGATTCCGGCCATGAAAGCCTTTGACAATTCCCTGATTCTTACCAGGTCACACGGGGGTTGGGAACAGCATCAACCTTCCAAGTCAGTTTCAGCAACCGATGTCCTTCCAAGATCTCATAATACTGCTTCTTCTTATACACGTGGAGGAAAGCTTTCTCTTGAATAAAGAAAAATAATGCCAGGCATTAACATCAAGGTTGCTTTGCAGAACCATCCAAAGGGTACAGGTAATAAAATACTCTCTTCTAGTATCTTCTGCAAAGATACAGAATGGGGGACGATGCCTGGCTCGAGAGCAGTATGTGTGAAAAAGATCTTGGAGTCCTCGTGGACAACAAGTTAAACATGAGCCAGGAATGTTTGGTGAGCTAGTCTGTACTGGAGGTGTGCCTCATTGTAATTTGGTTGAGCAGCGGTGCCGATTGTTATAGATGGCTTCTCCACAATATCAGGATTTCTGACAACATCAAATGTGTAGGTGCTAAAAGTTATGAGTTGTTCCCCCATTAAAACCCATTATCATGTTTGTATATTTTGAGGTTTTATTGTCAACCGCTTTGAGTCACTTTTTTGGAGAGAAAAAGCAGGATGATGATGATGATGAGGAGGAGGAGGATAGCATGAAAAAGACAGAAAAACTCTCAAAAAAGCATTTTGAATGGATGATCTCAATCTTGCAGTAGAAAGTGTTTGCAAAATAGCAACGAAGCATTAAATCTTTACTTTTTCATCCTTCCATGAAATAAGGTTGCACAGAAGGATGAAATAAGTAAAGATGTAATGCTTCATTGCTATTTTGCAAACACTTTCTACTGCAAAACTGAGATCGTCCATGTCGAAGCCCTCCTTACTATATACTGCGACAGTGACGGCAGCCGTCAGATCTCCACGCGTTGTGTTGAAGACTTTGCAGGTGTACTTTCCCTTGTTTTCCAGGGTCACGTTGTGGATGGTGAGGTTGCTGGAGCCCTTGTACACAGGCTTACTCTTGTCCAAAACTCTCGAAGCATAGTAGTTCTAGAAGAAGGACAAAGACAAGAAACAAGGAGGGGATGAGCTTGGCTCGATATCCCTATAATAGAGTTATATTGTGCCCTTGTGCCTCCCTAGAAGACACCTGGAGACATTATAGAGTTCATCCCATTGAACATATCAAGTGTTTGGAAGAGTAGGTTTACCATACAGTTCAGGCATAGTTCGTCTTGAAATTAAATGGATGATTTTCCGACCTCCATCACATACTAGCAAACTATCCATTTTATTCAAGAGCTCTCAGTTTCCACCCACTGCCCCTTCCACATTTTCTTTGTGAAAAGTAACACTTCCCCAGTGTCATTTCCTAATAGGTTCTATCATAAAGACATGCAACAAGTTTATTAAACTGCAAAAAATTAGTCTTTGCAGGAGGGACATCCCGCTATAAAACCCTTTTTGCTCCAGTTTTTCAATGATTCTCCTCCTCTCTCTCTCCCCTTCCCTGTGTTGGAAGAAGGAAGGAAGGAGGGAAAGTAGGAAAGGAAGGAGAGCACCACACAACATACAGAAGGAAGGAAGGAAGGAAGGAAGGAAGGGAGGGAGGGAGGGGGGGAGGGAGGGAGGGAGGGAGGAGGAAGGAAGGAAGGAAGGAAGGAAGGAAGGAAGAGGAGAGGAGAGGAGAGGAGGAGGTAACACATGGCACACACAACACAGAGAAGGAAGGAAAGAAGGAGGGAAGGAGGGAAGGAAGGACAGAAGGAAGGAGAGGAGATAACACATGGCACACACAACACACAGAAGGAAATAATGAAGGAAGGAAGAAAGGAAGGAAATAATGAAGGAAGGAGGGAGGGAGGGAGGGAGGGAGGGAGAAAGGAAGAAGGAAGGAAGGAAGGAAGGAAGAGGAGAGGAGAGGAGGAGGTAACACATACACACACAACACAGAGAAGGAAGGAAAGAAGGAGGGAAGGAGGGAAGGAAGGAAGGACAGATAGAAGGAGAGGAGAAGAACACATGGCACACACAACACACAGAAGGAATGAAGGAAGGAAGAAAGGAAGGAAGGAAGGAAGGAAGGAAGGAAGGAAGGAGGGAGGGAGGGAGGGAGAGGGAGGGAGGGAGGAAGGGAGGGAGGAGGAAGGAAGGAAGAAGGAAGGAAGGAAGGAAGGAAGGAAGGAAGGAAGGAAGGAAGGAAGGAAGGAAGAGGAGAGGAGAGGAGGAGGTAACACATACACACACAACACAGAGAAGGAAGGAAAGAAGGAGGGAAGGAAGGAAGGAAGGAAGTAAGGAAGGAAGGGGAGGAGGAAAGGAGAGGAGGAGCAGAGGGAACACCTGAAAGGCAGCTCAGAAATTGGGTTGTTGTAGTTTTTTTGGGCTGTATGCCCATGTTCTAGAACAGGGGTCCTCAAACTTTTTAAACAGAGGGCCAGGTCACAGTCCCTCAAACTGTTGGAGGGCAGATTATAATTTGGAAAAAAAAAAATGAATGAATTCCTATGCACACTGCACATATCTTATTTGTAGTGCAAAAACACTTAAAATACAATAATTAAAATGAAGAACAATTTTAACAAATATAAACTTATTAGTATTTCAGTGGGAAGTGTGGGCCTGCTTTTGGTTAATGAGATAGGGTTGTTGTTGATGTTGTGAGTCGTTTCAGATTTAGGTGGACCTTGAGTGTGGGCCGGGTAAATGACCTTGGAGGGCAGTATCTGGTCCCCGGGCCTTAGTTTGAGGACCCCTGTTCTAGAACGTGGCCATACAGCCCAAAAAACCTACAACAACCTAGTGATTCCAGCTTTTGACAATACATAGCTCAGAAATTATTGCTTTCCTGACATGAATCTGATTCAGGAGACGTTTGGAGATCTGAGTCCATGGCACTCGGCAATGGCAATCTCCAAGCTCGCAGCAGACAAAAGACTAAAGAATTCAAGCTACTCACACTGCTTCCAGGGTCTGTCCATACAATTGGGATCCGACCGTTGTACTTCGTCTTGGCTTTGCACTCCAAGTGAAGGGTGTCTCCTATGAGAAGCTTCTCAGGGGTTGCTGTCAGAGTCAGGTTCCAGATGTTATTCTCTGAAAGAAATAAAAACTATCCATGGTCAAGACTGTGAATAATGATAAAGACCTACAGAATGATACTGGAAGACTTTGAGATTTCTAGAAAGGTGTTTTCTTTAGGAATCTCTCAACACTTCAACTTGACTCTGTGGCCAATGACTGGTGGGAGTTGACCACAGAATCACTCTGCAGAATTTAGAGATAACTAGAAAGGTGTTCTGTCTATTTGTGCTCATGCTACCATTTGAGGAGATAAAGTGATGTACAATAATCTATATAAATAAAAATGTAATGTTCGTTTGTGGGATTAACAGAACTCAAAAACCACTGGGAGAATTGACCCCAAATTTGGACACAAGACACCTAACAACCCTATGTATGTCCTTCACTCATAAAAACACTGAAAAACACAGCAGAAGGGACTTAAAAAGGCCCCAAAAAGCTAAATGACGAAAAAATAAATGACAGTTCAGAAAAAAGGAAGAAAGAGGGAGGGCCGAAACAAAGGAAGGCCGAAACTAAAACAAGTCAAACCTGCATTTTGGACTTTAGGAGAGCTGATTTCCGAAAAATGAAGGAAACACTGAGCAGCATTCTATGGACACAAATACTAAAAGACAAGAGAGTTACAGATGGATGGGAATTTCTCAAGAGTGAAATACTCAAGGCACAATTGCAAACTGTGCCAACAAAGAGAAAAAATAGGACAAGTGCAAAGAAGCCAGAATGGATGTCCAAAGAACTTCTAACTGTGCTAAAACACAAAAGAGACATGCACAAGAAGTGGAAAAAGGGAGAAATCACCAAAGACGAATTCAAACAAATAGCCAACACCTGTAGGGAAAAGGTCTGCAAGGCTAAAGCACAAAACGAGCTCAGGCTTGCCAGGGACAGTAAAAACAATAAAAAGGGCTTCTTTATTTATGTCAGTAGAAAAAGGAAAAAAAGGTGATAGGGCCTTTTCGAGGAGAGATGGGGCAATGCTGACAGGGGATAGGGAAAAGGCAGAACTACTTAATGCCCTCTTTGCCTCAGTCTTCTCACAAAAAGAAAGTCATCTTCAACCTCAGCAAAATGGAGTGGATGAGGGATTAGAGGACATCCACAAACCAGTAAAGGTGGTCCCAATGGTGATTGGCACATTGGGTGCAGTGCCTAAAGACCTTGGCCTGCACTTAAACACAATTGGAACTCACAAAATTACCATCTGCCACCTGCAGAAAGCCACCTTACTGGGATCTTCATGCATTATTTGGCAATACATCACACCATCCTAGACACTTGGGAAGTGTCCAACGTGTGATCCAATTCAACAGTCAGCAGAGTGTCTGCTGTGGACTCATCTTGTATTTCAAATAATAATAATAATAATAATAATAATAATAATAATAATAATAATAATAGTAATATCTAGGAAATGTAGGTCCTTCAGCATATCTCCATGGTTAACATCTGGTGGGAGCTGTCCACAGAATTGTACTAGAGGATCTAAAAATAGAAATGTGTTCTCTCTAAGAAACTCCCTCTACATGAGTCTACGGCCAACATCGGGTGGGAGTTGACCAAAGAATTCAACTGGAGAACCTAGAGATGAGAGAAGGAGGATTGCTAGGTCTTCAGTGTGTCTCAGTGGGCAACAACTGGTGGGAATTAACTGGAAGACCAAGAAAATCCTAGATGTGATGAAGATATGATATGTGGTTTGAATGAAATTGTATGAAAAGGGTTTGGTAGGCATTGACCTTGAGTTTTGGAGTTGTAGTTCACCTACATCCAGGGAGCAGGAGGACGGTTTTTGGTAGGAGGATTCGCCCTCTGTTTCCAGAAAGGAAGAGAAGGACAGGTGGAGAGATATTCAGCCTTCTCTGCCAAAGGGGTTCCTAAGACCATCAAAAATATGTGTTTTCTGATGGTCTTTGGTGACCCCTCTAAAAGCCCCCTCATGACCCTCCTCAGGGTCCCGACCCCTAGGTTGAGCAACACTGTTTGAGACTATGAAAGACACCCTGTGTTATCTACACAGAGACTACTTCAAATACTATCTGAAACTGGATTGATATGCAAAGTGCTTGTATGCTGAATACATGAAGTTTGTGAGTAAACAAACTCCGTTACTTTAAAGAAGTCTATTTATTTTTGTCTCTTGAGGACATTATATTTAAAACAACATGTTTTAAAGAAGAGTAGATGTTTTTGGGCAACTAAGATGAAAATTTCTAAAACTCTGCTGTATAAATATGTGTGTTTTGTGCACTGGCATATCTTCGTCCCTAACAGTTCAAAGACATCAGTTTAACAGCTGAGAAACCTAATTGCCTTGCATGAATGTCATTTTCCCAAACGTTTATGGCATCAATGTATTGTCGAAGGCTTTCATGGCTGGAATCACTAGGTTCTTGTGGGTTTTTTCGGGCTATATGGCCATGTTCTAGAGGCATTCTCTCCTGACGTTTCGCCTGCATCTATGGCAAGCATCCTCAGAGGTAGTGAGGTCTGTTGGAACTAGGAAAAAGGGTTTATATATCTGTGGAATGGCTGGGGTGGGGCAAAGCGCTCTTCTCTGCTGGAGCTAGGTGTGAATGTTTCATCTGACAACCATCATGTCAGACTACACAGAGAAGCCATGGAAATCCACAAGCATGTGGACAATTTCAACAGAAAGGAAGAGACCATGAAAATGAACAAAATCTGGCTACCAGTATTAAAAAAACTCTAAAATTACAACAGCAAAACAGCAGGGAGGAAACAACCAGGCACATCTTAACACCTCTCAACAAAAGATTTTCCCAGGCTCAGCCAGGCCTTCAAATGCTAATGAAGGTGGTCAGTTGAAACATTCACACCTAGCTCCAGCAGAGAAGAGCTCTTTGCCCCACCCCAGCCATTCCACAGATATATAAACCCACTGTCCTAATTCCAACAGACCTCACTACCTCTGAGGATGCTTGCCATAGATGCAGGCGAAACGTCAGGAGAAATGCCTCTAGAACATGGCCCTATAGCCCGAAAAAACCCACAAGAACCTAGTTTATGGCATCATTTTCCAAAAGGTTGTGACTTATAACAAGGTCATGCTTTTCCAAAGATCATAAAATCTTTAAAAAGTCATGGTGATTTCAATTTTCTGAAATTATAATGTTTAAAAAGGTACTTATGACACAGAGAGGATGATTTAATCAAATCTAAGAATAATCAAATGCACAAAGTCAAACCTATGAATCACCAAATGTAATTGTGGACAATCTCAGCATCCCAAAGCCAGAAATTTGGAGACGGAAGGGAAATATTATTTGCGGAGTGCCATTCTTGAGCAGAATTGTTTTTCCAGATGCCACTCACCCACTTTCTGTGGGAGGTAATAGGTGGTGTACGTCTTCCCATTGACGGTGGCCACGCACTGGAGCATGGTGCTGAAGAATTCAAAGGAGGGCGAAGTGATGAGAAAGCCTCTTTTGGGATCCCATTCCTTCTTCACGTAGCTGAATGTCACTGGGAAAGTATGCTAAAGGAGAAGAAGATATAATCATCATCATCATCAGTTACCCACCTCTCCTCATGGCTTGAGTGGATTACATTATTATTATTATTATTATTATTATTATTATTATTATTTGAAACACAACAAGATGAGTCCACAGCAGACACTCTGCTGGCTGCTGAATTGGATCACGTGTTGGACACGCCACACACTTCCCAAGTGTCTAGGACTTGACAGATTAGATCTTGACAGATTAGAGAGATGGGCCAAAGCTAACAAAATGAAGTTCAACAGTGACAAATGCAAGATACTCCACTTTGGCAGGAAAAACGAAATGCAAAGATACAGAATGGGGGACAATGAGGCCTGGCTCGAGAGCAGTACGTGTGAAAAAGATCTTGGAGTCCTCGTGGACAACAAGTTAAACATGAGCCAGGAATGTGATGTGGCAAAAAAAGCCAATGGGATTTTGGCCTGCATCAAGAGGAGCCTAGTGTCTAGATCTAGGGAAGTCATGCTCCCCATGCTCTATTCCGCTTTGGTTAGACCACACCTGGAATATTGTGTCCAATTCTGGGCACCACAATTCAAGAGAGATATTGACTCTAAGCTGGAATGTGTCCAGAGGAGGGCGACTCAAAGGATCAAGGGTCTGGAGAACAAGCCCTATGAGGAGCGGCTTAAGGAGCTGGGCATGTTTAGCCTGAAGAAGAGAAGGCTGAGAGGAGATATGATAGCCATGTATAAATATGTGAGAGGAAGCCACAGGGAGGAGGGAGCAAGCCTGTTTTCTGCTTCCTTGGAGACTAGGACGCAATGGAACAATGGCTTCAAACTACAAGAGAGGAGATTCCATCTGAACATGAGGAAGAACTTCCTGACTGTGAGAGCCGTTCAGCAGTGGAACTCTCTGCCCCGGAGTGTGGTGGAGGCTCCTTCTTTGGAAGCTTTTAAACAGAGGCTGGATGGCCATCTGTCAGAGGTGATTTGAATGCAATATTCCTGCTTCTTGGCAGAATGGGGTTGGACTGGATGGCCCAGGAGGTCTCTTCCAACTCTTTGATTCTTTGATTCTATGATTCTATGACTGTGTGATGTATCGGTGAATAATGTGTACAGATCGCAGGGAGGTGGCCTTCTGCAGCTCTGTCAGCGCCGATTGTGTTTAAGTGCAGGCCAAGGTCTTTAGGTACTGCACCCAGTGTGCCGATCACCACTGGGACCACTTTGACTGGCTTGTGCCACAGTCTTTGCAATTCGATCTTTAAATCCTCATATCGTGTCAGCTTTTCCAGTTGTTTCTCGTCAATCCTGCTGACACCTGGGATTGCAATATCGACAATCCATGCTTTGTTTTTTAACACGATTGTGAGGTCTGGAGTATTGGCCCTTGAGCGCTCCAGATGGAGGTCACCTGTGACCAGCAGTGCTGCAGAATTTGAAGAGGCATGCATGGAGGGTGAAAGAGAGAAACGTGCCGAGAGGAAGGCACGTCAAACCAACCCTGACAGAGACCGCCTTCCACCTGGAAACCAATGCCCTCACTGTGGGAGAAGATGCAGGTCAAGAATAGGGCTCCACAGTCCCCTACGGACCCACCAGAATACTGATCCTGGAAGACTATCCTACTCAGCCGACAAGGGATCGCCTAAGTGAGTGAGTGTGCTTAAAAACTCTGTCAGTCTGAATCTGGACGTCCCAGAGGAGTTTAACGTGCTCATTTTCTGTAATTTTCTGTAACTGACAAGTTGGAATGTGTCCAGAGGAGGGCGACTCAAATGATCAAGGGTCTGGAGAACAAGCCCTATGAGGAGCGGCTTAAGGAGCTGGGCATGTTTAGCCTGAAGAAGAGAAGGCTGAGAGGAGATATGATAGCCATGTATAAATATGTGAGAGGAAGCCACAGGGAGGAGGGAGCAATCTTCCTTTCTGCTTCCTTGGAGACTAGGACGCAAGGGAACAATGGCTTCAAACTACAAGAGAGGAGATTCCATCTGAACATGAGGAAGAACTTCCTGACTGTGAGAGCCGTTCAGCAGTGGAACTCTCTGCCCCGGAGTGTGGTGGAGGCTCCCTCTTTGGAGGCTTTTAAGCAGAGGCTGGATGGCCATCTGTCAGGGGTGATTTGAGTGCAATATTCCTGCTTCTTGGCAGAATGGGGCTGGACTGGATGGCCCAGGAGGTCTCTTCCAACTCTTTGATTCTATGATTCTATGATGATGATGATGATTATTATTATTATTATTAGTAGTAGTAGTAGCAATACTAGTAGTAGTATTTATACCCTGATTTTTCTCAGTGCAACTAACAATGAAAACTATAATTAAAAACATAGTTCACATACATACGCAAAACAAAGGACCATATAAAATACATGTATTCAAAAACACAGAGCAAAGATAAAAATACAGTACCGATTTGAATAAAATGCACATTTAAACGCCCCCGCCCCCCCTCGACTTAAGTGCAGGCAACTGTGATTGTCGGGAAGGTAAACTTTCACAAATGTCACTCTCATCAAGAAGAATGAATAATGTAACTCTTTTTTCCTCCCTTGGAAATGGCACATTTCTTTAATGGATGATTTGTAAGTATGATTGATGTGGTTTGGAGAGAGAGAAAAAATACTTGTGGGTGTGTTTTTTTTTCTGGTGCAGAAATGAGCATCTTCCACGCGGAAATGGTCCCTGTATTTTTATCATTTATTGTTGTTGTTGTTCATTCGTTCAGTCGTCTCCGACTCTTCGTGACCTCATGGACCAGCCCACGCCAGAGCTCCCTGTCGGCCGTTACCACCCCCAGCTCCCTCAAGGTCAGTCCAGGCACTTCAAGGATGCCATCCATCCATCTTGCCCTTGGTCGGCCCCTCTTCCTTTTGCCTTCCACTTTCCCCAGCATAATTGTCTTCTCTAGGCTTTCCTGTCTCCTCATGATGTGGCCAAAGTACTTCAACTTTGTCTCTAGTATCTTTCCCTCCAGTGAGCAGTCGGGCTTTATTTCCTGGAGGATGGACTGGTTGGATCTTCTCGCAGTCCAAGGCACTCTCAGAACTTTCCTCCAGCACCACAGCTCAAAAGCATCGATCTTCCTTCGTTCAGCCTTCCCTAAGATCCAGCTCTCACATCCGTAGGTGACTACAGGGAATACCATGGCTTTGACTAGGCGGATCTTTGTTGCCAGTCTGATGTCTCTCTCTACTCTTTACTATTTTATCGAGACTGGACATTGCTCTCCTCCCAAGAAGTAAGCGTCTTCTGATTTCCTGGCTACAGTCTGCATCTGCAGTAATCTTTGCACCTAGAAATACAAAGTCTGTCACGGCCTCCACGGTTTCTCCCTCTATTTTCCAGTTGTCAATCATTCTTGTTGCCATAATCTTGGTTTTTTTGACGTTTAGCTGCAACCCGGCTTTAGCGCTTTCTTCTTTCACCTTGATTAGAAGGCTCCTCAGCTCCTCCTCGCTTTCGGCCATCAGAGTGGTGTCATCTGCATATCTGAGGTTGTTAATGTTTCTTCCAGCAATTTTCACCCCAGCTTTGCATTCATCCAGCCCCGCACATCGCATACAAGTTAAAAAGGTTGGGTGAGAGGATGCAGCCTTGCCGTACGCCTTTCCCAATCTTGAACCAGTCTGTTGTTCCGTGGTCAGTTCTGACTGTTGCTACTTGGTCCTTGTACAGATTCCTCAGGAGAGAGACAAGGTGGCTTGGGATGCCCATCCCACCAAGAACTTGCCACAATTTATAATGATCCACACAGTCAAAGGCTTTAGAATAGTCGATGAAGCAGAAATAGATGTTTTTCTGAAACTCCCTGCCTTTCTCCATTATCCAGCAGATATTGGCAATCTGGTCTCTGGTTCCTCTGCCTTTTCTAAACCCAGCTTGCACATCTGGCAACTCTCGCTCCATGTATTGCTGGAGTCTTCCTTGCAGGATCTTGAGCATTACCTTACTGGCATGAGAAATAAGGGCCACTGTACGGAAGTTTGAGCAGTCTTTCGCATTTCCCTTTTTTGGTATGGGGATATAAGTTGATTTTTTCCAGTCTGATGGCCATTCTTGTGTTTTCCATATTTGCTGGCAAATGGCATGCATCACCTTGACAGCATCATCTTTTAAGACTTTAAACAGTTCAGCTGGGATCCCATCATCTCCTGCTGCCTTGTTGTTAGCAATGCTTCTTAAGGCCCATTCAACCTCACTCCTCAGGATGTCTGGTTCTAATTCATTCACCACACCGTCAAAGCTATCCTCGATATTGTTATCCTTCCTATACAGATCTTCTGTATAGTCTCGCCACCTTCTCTTGATCTCTTCAGCTTCTGTTAGGTCCCTGCCATCTTTGTTTCTTATCATACCAATTTTTGCCTGAAATTTACCTCCAATGTTTCTAATTTTCTGGAAGAGGGTTCTTGTCCTTCCTATTCTGTTGTCTTCTTCCACTTCCATGCATTGCTTATTTAAAAATAGTTCCTTATCTCTTCTGGCTAACCTCTGGAATTGCGCATTTAACTGGGCATATCTCCCATTTACTGTTTCCTTTTGCTTTCCTCCTTTCTTGGGCTACTTCCAGTGTCTCAGCAGACAACCATTTTGCCTTCCTGGTTTTCTTTTTCTTTGGGACGTACTTTGTTGCCGCCTCCTGAACAATGTCGCGGACTTCTGTCCATAGTTCTTCTGGGACTCTGTTTACTAAATCTAGTCCTTCAAATCTGTTTTTCACTTCCACTGTATATTCGCTAGGAATGTTAGTGAGATCATATCTAACTGGTCTGTGTATTTTCCCTGATCTCTTTAGTTTTATTCTAAATTGGGCAATAAGAAGTTCGTGATCTGAGCTACAGTCAGCCCCAGGTCTTGTTTTCACCGACTGGATGGATGTCCGCCACCTTTGGCTGCAAAGGATGTAGTCAATCTGATTTCGGTGTTGACCATCTGGTGAGGTCCATGTATAAAGCCGTCTTTTAGGTTGTTGGAAGAGAGTATTCGTTATACACAGCGAGTTTTCCTGGCAGAATTCTA